ACGAGTAGATTTTCTCAGAGGACTGGGGATGAACAGGTTCAGGAGCCCATCGTGGCAAGTGCCGCCTAGTCGGGCACGGATTTTGAGCCTCTCGTTTCGTTTATTGTCAAATACCGCTAAACAGAAAAAGAAAAAAAAAAGGTTAACCAAGATGATGACTTAAGTTGGTCTAGGTAATGGGGTCGCGAACCGAATACAACAGCTTACAGCTTATCAAAAACCAAGTACAACTCCTGTATGTTCTAGGTTTAATTATTTAATCGCTTCCACCATGGTTACAATACTAAGATATAATATGCATTTTAAGAAATTACAAGAACGAGTGGCGATGGTGCGGACACACAACAGAGCGAGGCTCCAATTTTATAAAGATCCCATTTCTGAGGTTCACTCCCGTAATTGTTAAAATATTGCTATGCGCAAGCATTAAATAAATGCCAGGGTGAAGAAGTGTGGAATTTTTCTAAGATCTTTACCTTTGTTCGTGTAAGTGCTTCTTTTCAGTGTTGTTGACTTCACTTCTCTTCTTCTCGTTAAATCCAAGGGTAAGATCTATATAAGCAGGTTCAGATTTGGTCGAAAACTTGAGCTGAGGGAACCTTGAAGTGTACCAGTTTACAAACCCCTATTTTCGCGTAAAATTGTCCAGATCAAGCGGGGGGCGCCGGGGCTTATAGCCCTGGGGACGAGAAGCGAGAAAAAAAGGGAGACTTTTCATACGCGGTTTACAGCCGCACGCGAGAGGGTAATAGTTTTGATACTCTTGAAACCAAGATGGCCGCCTGCGTCACAGACTGACTGTAAAATCAGCCTTGCATCTTTTGCTCGATGCCTTACAGTAAGCGCAAAATTAAAGCGGGACGGCGTTGAAGAGTCATATCCTTAAGTGACATCGTAATTTCAAGTCACTTCTGTTGCAAACCACCACCCTCAAAATCCCTTAGAGTTTTATCGAGCTTTACGTTACTCTGACTTTTCACCCTCACCATTTCTTTTTTGTGTTTGTGTGTAAATCGTTGTCCAATAAAAGAAAAGTTGGCTAACCAATCAACACTAACATACAATCATACAATCACACAAAATATATCGTAACCGCTTTATTGTTATCAGAGCAAGCATCGTTTGAACAGTTTAGTTCTTACTTTACGATATTTTGGGGTGTTCAAGTACGTAAATTTTTTGCGTGGAAATTCAGGCTGTTAAAAGCGTAAGGAAAATTGGTGGTTGAAGACTCGACATACTGCAGTTTTTGGTTCTGGAACGTCCGAGTAGTTCATGTTGTCTTTGCTTTTATATCATTAATCGTGTTTTGATGTACCTAAGATTAAGAACTTTACCATAGTCAGTTGATCAACTACTACTAACTGTAGTTTTAATTAGAAGAACAGACTTTTAATTGACAAAGCTAAAGTGTTCTTTCAAGCTTTTTCACACAGAGACATAAAAGAATTGCTATAGGCACAACAAACCATATTTTGGCCTGCTGTTTCGCACAATGGCAATCTATACAATCACAAAAGAGCATTTGAATCGCCCAAAACAAATAAATTCACCAGGATCTCGATTGAATTCCACAGAGACCTGGCGACTGCAAGAACACTAGGTAATCGCTCCCGCATTGACAAAGGAGCGAAATTAAAATGCAATTAACTGTGCTTTCGAAGCGTTCTCCTTTCTACCGCAAAACTCGTCGCCTGGAAATTTGCGCCCATGCAAGCAAATGTCGGCAGTGTGCGTCTTGTCCCAAGCCCGAGCAGACAGAGTTTTACCGGGGACCAACAACCTCGCAGACGCAGTTCGCGTGTTTTGATCAATCCTGGTGCGTAAGTTTTTAATTTTGTAGAGTCTAGTGAGAATATATGCCATGTAAGAAAAATTATCCGCATCTCAGTGATACTCAACGTAAGGGTTAAACCGTCACGGAGGCGTTTTAACCTGAGTTCCACAGGACAAAAAGTGATCAAATCTGGTAAACTATAGAAACTATTGTGCTTATAGAGCTCCATAGACCCTTAATGTTTAATTGTAACTTTAACTTACGTTATCAATGATTTAGAACCTTTAGCACGTTGGAACGCCTAGTTCAACACCTTTGAAGGCAAACGAGGATGAGCTAATGCCCCGTCTGCCTGCCCTGATGCTGAATCCCAATTCACACAATTACTAGCTGATAACACTTCACGCTTTATACTACAGTCTAGTTCATTACGGTTTATGTTTATATAGTAACGCATTCGCAGTGTAGCTACACAAAGGATTTACTTGAAGTCAGGATGTAGTAACTTGTAATCGCGATCGTTGATCGTTACTGTTTGTACGAAAACTTCATAGTTTCTTTAATCAGAAAACGTCTTCTAAATTCAATATCCGCGGTCCTAATAACAGAGTCCATCGTTTACAAGCTTTTTAGTTACTTGTACTAAAAAATATTTTTTCCTGTGGTAGGGAGGGGTGGTTTTCCAAGGGGGGAGGTGGAGAAGAGCATCGCATAGGGTTTGAAAATTCTAACAAATATGTGTCCATGCTGCCTAGTTTGAGAAGAACTCAAGACCACACATCACTCAAATAAAATTCAGAGAAACGGGAAGTGTTGCTTCACTTTATTGGCAAAATTGATCAAATCTGTTCGCCGAATATAAACCTTAGGACTAGAAGAACTGTCATTAAAACAGGCTTTGTCGTTCTGTACCCTAAAAAGATATTGAAACTGTCGAAGACTGTTTCGTCATGGCCGGAGATAGCGGACGCGGTAAAATGCGTGGTGTCACTAAGACAAAGGACGAAACTCAAGTTATTTCTTCTTTCCATTGCGGCTCTGTTCAACTCAAGAATTTTGCTCTTTTTCTATATTTCTATATGATAATGATGTTGATCATGATGATGTTGTCAATGATGACTCTTAATAACAAAATACCCTGAACCGGCATCTCTATACCGACATGACGTTCGTTGGCATCAAACTTGCACAGAATGCCCCTCTGCCTTCGATTGGGTACAACTGAGGAACCTGTTGAATTCTAGTCAGGTAAATGCGACTGATCATTTATCTCTTTTTTCAATGTCTGAAAAGAGAAATGAAGGACGGAACTTTCCTAGTTCCGCTGTAAGGCCTACACAACACGCCAAACAAGAAAGAAAACTACGATAAAATCTCCATGAGCGACCACTTCACATAAGCGATCTCTTTTGCCAAACACCAAAATTTTCCAAGCCAAAGTCTTTCAGTTGGAACTTCAAGTAAACGATCACCTTCTGTAAGCAATCGCGACCACTCTCCTGTAATTTTCTATTAATTGTTTTTAACCACTTGAGCGACCACTTCACGTATGGTCTGATCTCTCTTCTCGCCATCCTCGGAGACCCAGGGGCAGATGGCTGTGTGAGCGAGGAAAGTCCAAACGGGCGGAAAAAATGCTCGCTCTGTGTACTGTGTTACTAACATTATTGGAAGGACCTCACTTTTAACGACAATGTGGAACTACGCATATCTTAACTTAGACATTGCATACAATGAATTATCTACCATTTAGCAGATGTGTTGGGTCTCTTCTCGGATGAGGCCTCCCTGAGGAAGGCGGTTCAATTCTTGTATTTGACCCTCTCCAGTAAGCGACCCCTAAGTCTTCGCATTTTTGGGTGGTCGCTTGCGATGGGCACCATGTCTGGTGTGTGCCCAGCCCAAAATATTCTCCTTGGATCATCTATTAAAACCGCGGACTCCTGTGTTCTGAGTAGTAAACAGGGTGTTAACACGCTCCTCAAGTTGAAACTATTATTATTTTTTATTTACGCAAATTTTGCTCCTATGACAGCTTATCAAGATGATAATTTTCAGTGGGTTGCTCCGAATTACCCGCGGCGGCCTCTTAGCTTACCGAAATACGCCCTCGCCTTAGCTCGAAGACTGATCCGAGAGACGACTCAGTCGATTTTTGTAAAATCCAACCCACTCGCGATTTCCCTGAGTTTCACTTGTTTTCCTTGATTAAAATTCGATAAGCTTGCAGAGTGCCCGACAAGTGTGATTTTCTGACGATGTTTTGACGACCGAGAAACAGAATGGACCTATTGGACCTATTACCTATATGACGATGACCATCGTTTATTTCATGACGATGACCACGGCTATTTAGTAAAGCACGTTCGACTTAGAACGTTGAGATGGTCTTTTCATATTGAAAAAAAAAAAAACACGCACACACAGACTCACAAAAAAAACAAGGCTAAAAAAAGCTTACTTCTGTCTCAGTTTCCATGATATAATATATCTGTCAGTTCTAGGTTAAGTAAAGAGTCCTAAAATTCTCTCAAAACTGATAACGTTCGCCTAGAATATACTTTGAACCTCTACAGACTGGCTATTTTGAGCAGAGGGATTAATCCATGATGTCAACCCTTTAAGTGCTAATATCAACATAAATAATCTCCACGCTGTTCTCTATACATTTTCTAGTACTGGTGAAGAGAATTTATCTAACGATCAAGATGTCTTTTTACTAAATAATTGTCCCCTTTATTCATGAGACCTTTTTGTAGGCGATGTATGTCAGGTACTCTAGAAGGCAAGCATTGATCGATGACACCTGCATCCTTCTGTACTCTGCAAATGAGCTTATTCCAGTCGATCTGTACGTTATTTTGGACTCCTTGATTATTAATCTGCATCGCCACAAATATCCGTGAACTGATCAGCAGCGCTGATGAACTATTGAAGTAGAAAAAAGAAACATTCCATACATGCACGGTTTTTTAAATTGCTCCGGATTAAGACAATCGAGATTCATGGTAAGATAACTCAACTTAGACAGTTGTCGATAGGGCTTTAGTGTTGGGCCTGGTGTTAGATGGATTTAACGGCCAGAGAGAGGTCGCTGTTCTCTTAAAGGAATTTTGTTTTTCTGGGAATTTTTGCCATGAGTAACATTCTTGCTCAACGTTATAGTAATTACCCAAAAGTCATTGCATCGAAAATAACGTGAAGCCGGCTTTGTGAATAGCAGACAGCTCTGAGGCAATCTCCTATCGTGCCTGAACCACAACACTACCAGCACATCTGACTACCCTGCTCTGGCGATCTCTATCAGTGCATAATTTTATCGATGACCTTTAAAACCAAGGACGTGAAACTCACGACGCACTTGACGGGGTGTTATGCAGTTTTCGTTAAATCAAGGTTAGTCAAATTAATATCCATGCACTTCTCACTTCAAATGTTCCTTTCGTTGTACTCGTTTCTTAGTGAACAGTTCTCAGAGGGAGAACGTGATAACTTGTTTTGCCATCAGCTCATCTCTCTGTATTCTGCTTTGGCATCGCTTATAGTCAATCTAGTAAACTGCTAAGCTGAACAGATTCGGTAGTCGACCAAGGGAATTCGTGCTATAAAACTAAGTTGTAGCCAGGGGACCGGTTTTTGCACGGACCACCTGGCTTGCTTTGCATGAAGAAATTGTTTGAGCCCGATTCTGTCATTTAGCAGAGAATAATGCCATTGGCATTTCTCCTCTTCTATTTTCTCATATTACTCTATTACTCGCAGTCAGCATTTTTCAATCATTGACTTCGTCTATGCTTAAGACTTAGAAAACCACGAAGGTGTTTTAAAGACTAAAACTGTTTGAGTTATCACTGCTAATATTTAACATTCCAATTTTTAATAGAATATGCATGGTTTGTAATCCATAAGAGAGTATAACTTGATCGCTAGTATAATTTTTCTTGCAACATTAACAATACAGAAAGTCTCACGTTTGTCATAATATTCTCATTTGAAGGAAAAAGTTGTAAGAATTCGGCAGTGATTGATGGCGTGTCATTATGAATAACAAAGAGAGTAACAAAACTCAGCCATGATTTGTTCAAGTTGTTTTTGTATATAAATTATATGTGAAAAAGTTGATACAAAATCAATACGCTGTTAAAAAATCAGGCTTCGGGCTATTTTTTCGAAATTACCGTCACTAATCTTTCTCAGTACACGGAGAAAAAAAAAAATAACACAACAACAGGTCGTCGAAAATCGTCAAGCTGTGTTTAATTACATAACATTGTTTATTAACATTGTGGTTCAAGGACGATCTTTAGTCAAGGCTTTTATATCTTTTGTATATCTTTTGTCAGTTATGATAGAAGATTCTAGAAGGAATTCAATGATTGTCCATATATCTGTAGCTTTCAGTAGACATAGATGGACCTGATATTCAAGATACCACACTTCATAGGCCTCCTTCCCCAATTCAGCATCGTTAATCCGCGCTTTTTTCTTGTTAGAGCTTAACAGAATTTCTTTTTAAACACCATTGTAACTACTCAAGGCTAGTAGGAGGTCTGAAAAGCATTTGTTTGCGAGTTTTTAAACATGGAAATTAAGTTAACCTTGCGAAATTCTGCGTGATGTGCCGGGTAATCATTAGATTCAGCAGTTTTATTACGTGCAATTCAGCTAAAATTCTGAAAATTGGCAGGCTGGTTAACCCATTCAGGTATAGCTTGCGTAGCTTGCGTTTCGTGCGAGTTCGTTGAGAAATAAAGAAAGAGAGCCCTCGCTCTAACTTTCTGCCCGAAGTCGGAAGATTTGCGCGGAAGCGTTTTGCTACGCAGGCGAACTCAGTTTGTCAAGAAAACTGATTTATTTTACCAGCTTTTATTAGTTGTAAGCACATTTGAACCGCATTAACATTTTAACAAGTTTTGCTTCGTAGGGAAAATAACGCATTTTTTCTTTAAGGAAAATAAATCAGTACCATATTTTTGCATTTACCCTACAAAGGAAAACCTGTCATTTTGTTATCAGTAGGAGAATATCATATAGTAGTAGGCAACGTAGTCTTAACAGTCCTGAAAGAAAATCGTCAAAGGTATTTTACTCATACGAAGAAAACATTACACTAGTTTAGTGTCTAAGACAAACCAGCTACATTCTGGGGCCCTTTGATACAAGAGTCCTGTCCACGGTAAAGCAGGGTCCGGGACCCCCCCCCCCCCCCCCCCCCCCCCTGGTTTTTCTCCTGAAACTTTACTTGAAAACAGATTGAAGTTTCTTCTAACATGGGGTTTTTTTCGGCCTCCAAACCAATGGGCCCCCCCCCCCCCCCTGACCTGCCCTGTGTTTTACTCCTGAAACTATATATGAAATCAGATTGAAGTTACTAGTAACATGGTGTCTTTTGCGGCCTCCAAACCAAGGCAGTCTAACTGACAATACAAGCTAGACAGTGTCACTGTTCGATGCGCTTAAAATTGTGTTTTAGCTTAAATCTTTAAGTAAATATTACGCAAACACAAAATAAACTTCCTCGATCAACTGAAAGGTGTTAGGAAATAGCTCCACTGCTAGAATAACCGGAGCCAATCTTGCGTTTTTTCCTGGGAGCACGTCGCAGTGGTTTTTGATGTGCTATAATTAATTTTTATAGGGTTGTCAGTTAACTGCCAACAAAACTAGCTCATTATAAGGCCTCATTTAATCTCTTGCTCTCTCCACTATCTAATTGAAGGCACTATTGTCATTAAATGAAGAGGCAACAACACAACACGTAGCTAACTTAGCCAGACTACTCCTGTAAACGATTTCATCGCATATCTATCATTTACAGTTAGCGGCAAATATGGTTGTAGCGGGCGACAACTAAAAACAATAAGAACGATTTTCAGGCTAATTAGTCCAAGGAAATAGAGACTAAAAGAATGCATGCACTGTGAACAAAAAGCAAACCAAAGTTTTTGGAGGGATTGACATTAGAGGCAAGCTTAGATTACATTATTTTTCTTAGCAGTAAAAAACATATTTCCGGCGTAGATAATAGATTCTACTCGTGCACAGTTCACTGCCCTTTTGGTCTCGAATACCATTACTGACTGCTCAATTAACAATTAAATATGTGTTGCGCGCGGTTTTTATGCTTCAAACAACACTTGTAACAAGGTCGTCCAATATCGCCAACACGTAAACTTGGACCGTTAAGTCTTTTCTGAGAGGACAAATTAGCTCATTTTGGAGAACAGTGCATTCAAAGAGGGATTAGTTTGTCCAAAAGGAAATGAATGTACTCGATCAAAAGTTCCCAAAGGAATGGAATTGCAATGTGTTGATGTTCGACGAAAGAGAGACAAATTTCATGTAATGGGAAAAGAAATGGCAAGTATTCTCCAAATTTCACCGACTCAGGAAAAAGACTGGCTGTTTGAAAGCAATTGCATGTCAGCTTCACTTGAAAAGCGACTGAATTAAACTGGCCAAAATGCTTGCTTTGATTTCCTTATTCAAATGAATACCTTTCAATTGTTCTATGATTAAATCCGGCGGGATATGGACTTTTGTCATATTGGAATCGCGGCCTACTTGTGTCTGCAAATAAAAGCTTGTGATAGCCGGTATAAAAAGACCGGCCGATGACTGAAACTGTCGCTTTCATTCAGGAGTTTTTAATATTTAAACCAGTGTCGTAATTTACTGGCTGACCCCGAAGAAGGTGACCCTTGCTGACTGGTGTGTGCTATTATCAGTAAGATAACACATTTTTTCTTGTTTACGAGTGCACGAGCGGCTGACTTTCGGCTCCCGGCGCGGAGCGGGCGGTGAGTAATAAGCGAGCATGTCTGTACTTTTTAATGACCTGTAGGATCAACCACGCCGTGCCTTTGCTCATGAAAACAGCGAAATGCACAATGTCCGTTTAAATCTGGGCACAGGTATTTCATTTCTGGAGCATCGACGTCTGTCTTCAGAAACCTGTTGCTTGCAGTGAATTAATTACAACTTGTTGTATTCATTGCGTACCCTCTCGTTTTGTTTATACAGGAGAAATGGGAGCAAATTTAAGTACACATGGTGCAATCACATTGCGACTGAAGAGGGAAAGGGCGGACAACCTACCTAAAGCGGCCGCTGAACCTTCAAGATCAAGGAGTATCGACAATGAACAAGACAGTTCTGACCGAGATAGCGGCGTCCAAAATTTCTCCAGTCACCGAAAAGGGCGTTCGCCTTCCAAACACCGTCGAATCGTTCTAAACGTGTCCGGATTCCGATACATGACTTATTTGAGGACATTAGAAAGATTCCCGTCGACTCTCCTAGGAAACAAAGAAAAGCGAGATCAATTCTACGACGAAATTCGCGATGAGTATTTCTTTGATCGCAATATCCAGGTATTTGAACTTATTTTGTACTTCTATCAATCAAACGGCCGATTGGTCTGTCCGCCAGAACTCGCCCCTGAAATATTGCTTGAGGAGGTGGAATTCTTTGAACTCGGACAACAAGCCATTAACGCGGTGAAAGACATCTTGAATGAAGACGAACCGCCGGAGAGGGAGATAAGTTTGCCGAAAAATAGAGCGCAGAGGTTTATTTGGAGACTGTTCGAATGTCCTGATTCGAGCAAGGCAGCACGCGTGTTGGCGCTTCTGTCTGTTTCGGTGATCGTGGCATCCATTGTGGTTTTGTGTATAGAAACGCTCCCCGAATTTACAGTTTTGCCTGGGGATAACATTCCGGCAAATGATACGGCGAAACAGCAAGAGCTTCGCGAGCACAATGATTATGCTCATTCGGTGAAAGCCGTGTTTGGTTTGCTAGAGATAGCATTCATCAGCTGGTTTACATTTGAGTATTTGGTTCGATTAATTGCTAGTCCTCAAAAATGGCTGTTTGTTCGTTCTTTTCTAAACGTTATTGATTTGTTAGCGATATTGCCCTTTTATGTCGAGCTAGCCCTCAAGAGCAGCGGCGACAGCCAGAATTTTTCGCTAGCTTTTCTTCGAATTCTGAGACTTGTGCGTGTATTCCGAATTTTTAAACTCTCGCGTCACTCTAGTGGGCTTCAAATTCTCGGATTAACTTTGAAAAAGAGTCTCCGAGAACTGGGTCTTCTGATATTTTTTCTGATAATCGGCATTGTCATTTTCTCCAGCATGGTTTATTATGCCGAAAATGGCGAGGAAGACACTTTTTTCACTAGTATCCCGGATGCTTTCTGGTGGGCTTTAGTGACTATGACAACCGTCGGCTATGGAGATATGTATCCCAAGACACTTTGGGGTAAACTTGTTGGCTCGGGCTGTGCACTTTGTGGTGTTTTAGCGATTGCCCTGCCTGTGCCTGTTATTGTGTCGAATTTCGACACGATTTACAAGAAGTACCGAAGTCGGAAACTGAAACAGCAAGGGACAGACGGGGAGAGCGATAGAGATAGAAAAGTGAGCTTACTTTTTGGTTCTCGAAAAAGTTCCGAATTAGATAACCCCATCGATTCACCGGACTCTCCTGGCATGGAACTCAAAGAACTTTCTAAAGGAGATCTGACTGAAGACAAAAGAAATGGGAATGTCATTCAGAAAGAAGAGGGAGAAAAAGCCATAGAAGGTGTCCCTGAGAAAGCAGGCCTAACAAATGGACAAAAGAGAAAGTTGCAGGATAAAAATCTCAATGTTGACTGTGCGAACCCATCTGAGATAGTATCACTCCTTGAAGAGGAGGAATCATCTTTCGCGAAACTTAATCAGACCAATGTTTGAGAGAAATCGAGTAATGGAACCTGGTTTATCCAACCTCGCTCCCAGGGTTCTCTCCTACGCGCCGTAACGGAGCGAGTTAGGAGAGAGAACCTGGGAACGAGGTTTTGGTCACCAGGTAAAAGTAAATCTTTGGCACTCCCACCCAAAATTTAAGGCCTAAGAAATACCAGATTTGCATCTCCGCCGAAAAGGAACTATTTTAAGGTTGGGTACCCAAAAACTCTATGAGCACCGTGAACATGAGAATAGTTGCTCTCGGGTCCACCTCGCGGGATTGCAGTTGCCGACTCGATCGCTTTACGTTTAAACAGGTCTGGGATATTAGCCTCTCATTTTGGAACGGTGGTTTTGTGGCCGAGGCTGGAAACTTGGAAAGGAAAGTAGCTCTCCTTTCTTCCCTTCTTTCTATAAATTAAGCGAAGTTTTTGTAGAAGATATTTTTTACAATATTTCTTCACTCAATCGAGAATTTATAAGCTAAGTTATCATGAAATTCACCATCAAAGTGATCCAAAAATTAAAGGTTAATTGGAAGGGGAAGATAAGCAGTTTGATAGGGTGAATTTCTTTACGATGTTGAAATTTCTTACGTTTATTTATTTAATGAATTTATTGTGCACATAGATGTGTAATGAAGAGGCCATTTTAGAATTATTTCCGATTTTTTTTAAAGTCTATAGACAAATTGTATGTAGATGTTTTGGCACGTAGATGTAGTTAAGGGAACTGTTTCAAACTTACTAGCGCTTCGGTAAACTGAATCTGCCAATTCATAAAACACAAGAAGTCAAACACTTTAAGGGGCGAGCTCACGATCTTTGTTGCTCATCAGTATTTTCGTTGATTGCGATTGACACCGCAAAAATTCTCGGACGTTTATGACTAGCATCTTTTACAAATTGACATAAACTTTAAAAGTCGGGCCACTTTTTAAAGCGTACTTAAATGCAATTCGTTTTATTTCCGTCTTCTATGCTCTCGAACCCATATCTTCTTTATTTCTGCTCTTTTATGAGTCCTTTTTCAGTTCAAGCTTTTCTTTTGAGATTTCAGTGAACTTTGTGACCATTTGGTAATTGCTGAAAACACGTGACCTAGCTTCTTTAAATGCTAGATTTATAAACGATACAGAGCAAGAACAGAGAACTTGTTTAAGCTGCTATTTTTATCAGCTTCAAACACAGAGAAGATTTCAGTATCATCTCAGTTTTTTAAGCGAGTAAGTTCTGGTAGGTAAACTGCTGGTAGTTCCCTTTCAAGTTAGTCAAGAGGGCAAGAATCTGTCTCGGCGAGACATGAGAGAGTCCTTTTTCTCCCTTACTCCCACGAGCACGTTCCTCGTTTCCGCGTTCGCAACATACTGCGCGATAATCTCGAGGAACTGCTAGCAGTTTACTGACAGGTTTTGTCCTCTACAGCTTCCCTAACGATTCTGTTGTGTCCTTAGTTCATGAAAGGTAGTGTAATTTTGAATCGTAATATAAAGGCGAATAGTTTGACTGTCATCTGCACATGAGTGAGGATGAAATAATAATTTATGAAGTATTTTTATAGCACAGAACATAATGACGTTATTTTTTTTTAATGTGACAGCTTGAACTTTGCAAATTAAATTAGTTTTGATAACGTCTTTGTCATGTCTTCCCTAATTATTGAAGAGGACGAGAAGAGCTATAGCTGGTAAAGTGTAAAAAGCAAGTTTACTCGCGGAGATCGCGAGGAAGCCGTAAACCGATTTACGGTTTACTTACTGGGCAGGGGGCAGGGGGGAGAGCTCACAGAGGTTGCAACTAGGCTCGATTTCCGTAGCTTGTTCCTGGCGCTCAGATTGTGGGGACAGCACAGAGATGTGCGCGCCGCAGTTCACTATCTGAACTACTGAAACAAGCTGCGATTTCCGCCGCTCTCTTGGCTCATTTACCGGACAACGGCTGGTAATAAGGCTTAGTTTCCTTCCGATAAGGAAACGCAATGCTTTGCAAGACAAAATCAGCGGCGTGTGAGGCAAAATCTGGAAACTGACATGATCAATTTAGGTTTCTAGGAAACTGCCCACCTACCCCTTCCCCAAGCCAACGTTTTGCCCCAAATGAGAAGTAAGTGTTAATGTGGGCTTAAGGGAGGGGTAGGTGGGCAGTTTCTCAGAAACCTAATCCTTTTATAACTGCTAGTTGGAAGCTTGAACTGAGGGCCTTGTTAGCCAGTGTACAGTCGCCCGCTCCCCTCAGTAAGAGACTTTTTTTTTTCCTGATAGCGGCTGTGTCAACCAGGGATAACTGGAATGATAATTTAAAGGATGCGCGAAAATTGAAAAAAATAATTTTGTGGATTTAGTTGAAGCGAAAATGTTTTTAAGCATAATGAATTTATTTTCTGGTTCCACATTAGCGATGACTTATTCGTACTTTTTCGGTGATTTTACCCACGCTAAGGCATTAACCCTTACCATTATCGGCAAGAAACACTTATTATCACTCAGTTTAGGCCAGTTCAAGCTCCTTGGGCCATAGGGCACCGCTTTTGCCTACAGCAGCCCGGAAAATGACCTTGTAACACGCGCTTTTCATTCTCATCAAACAGTCTAACATGGATTCTTTGACTTGCACGAATGTCTTTCGTTTGGCTGGGACGAGTAGTATCAAGGGACTATTTTAAAGGGCACTATGACATGTCCCCTTGGTGTCCGTACTAACTGGCTTCCACTGTATTTTTAGCTCCTTTTAGGTCCTGTGGATAATATTTTTGGTACTTTTAGGAATAAGGGTTATCTGATCTAAGAGTTAACAGAACAGAGGAACCATATTCCACAGGGCACCTGATGGCACAGGGATAAGGAATAAGGTATAACTACACCCCCTTCCGCCTCCCCCCTAACAGGGCAGCAAGCTTGACAATCTTAATTTGCAAATTGACAGTTTTCGTGTTCACATCTTTTATTGCGCTTAAAACTAGAGACTTCTTCAATAGAATACGCACAAGGCTCTAAACGCAAAAAAGTGCTAACTATAGTTTAGACTTAGATTTCTGTTGGACTGGAACAGTCAAGAATGCGCCACGCCCGTCCGGCATTTTCACTTTACATCTTTCTTATTTCAATCAAATTACGCATTGCCGTTTTCTAGAAGACGGCAAAGGAATTTACATTACGCACTCGCAAAGTAAGTGTTCTTTCTAGTTACACCATTTGTTTTGTAACTTTAACTACCATCGCTGAAGTTGTTGCCCGAGCTCCCCCCGAAAATCGTCCGGGCATCGACACTCTACTCGGGAGAGTGCGAGGTACCTAAGACATATCCCCGCGTGGATGCGAAAGAACTCACTATCCTACTTGACCGTTTCTTTCTTTATCGTCTTTACTCTTTCTCAAGACATGAGGACAGTACTTACTCGGTTCCCATCCACACTGTCACTTTTTACGTGGCCATTTTCCTTTGGCCTTGTATATGAGAAAATTTTCTCATAATTAATGCGATAAATGTAGTTACCGCTGGTTAGACTGTCAGTGTCCATAATTATGCAATGCGCTTTGGCCTTTCGTCCATGTTATCACTTTCTCTCCAAAAAGTGGCCAATTTTCATCCTGTAAAATGCTGCAACACTGTAAGTACCACGTGAAAGTACTGCTGAAGTGGCTTCATCTGAATGGTCACACGACAATGTTCCCTCCATACTCAGAAGTTAAGACCACCGTACAATATCAAAACGAAGGTTTTCGAAAGCGGAAGTTTATGAAACAAGTACTTTAGTCCCTCAAAGAAGGAGGCCTTTAAAAACGGCATTCTATCGCATTAGTGTGAACGGCAGAGCGAAGGTTTCCCAAAACAAAAAATGTTGACAGGAACTTAGAGTCGACCATGGTGCGTATGGAATAGAGTTTTAACACAAAATTTGCAGCGCCTTGTACGCGTACAAATAAATTTTCCACATCAAAACTGTCCCATAAAATTTGATCGTGCGGATGGGACTTATACCAGCAAAGAGCATTATTTACAGTATAGACGGTTAGGCGTTCAAAATGTAAAACATACTAAATACGGTGTCAAACCTGTATTTACACTACTTTATACGAGATAAAAATTCTACCAATGCCGTCCAGTGTTCTCCTGGTTACTGAACATTATGATAAAAATCGCGCGAAGGATAAGTTGTGTATTCTATGCAACAATCCACCATACATTATTCTGCGGAAAACAGACAAGAAATGCTATTAATAGACATAAATGCTTAAGACTTCTACTTCTCTAGTATTTATGAATAACCTTAACCAAAATGTCTTTTGCGGTACAGGCAAAAATGTGCATGCGATAATCCCGAAAGGTAATATGGGATATAATCAGTGCACTGTTCCTGACACTGCAGCTGTCGAACCTACTTTTGTAGTTTTCCTTTAGCACACGCAAAAATACGTCCATGACACAAAAATAGTTGGGACACTTCCATCCGACGCTGTTTTTTCACTTCTGGCCCGTCTCCCCGTCCTCCCAATGTTGGTTACCGCAGCTAATTCACCAAATCTTGTACAACAACATTGGGAGGGCAAGAAGACAGCAGAGTGTCCCAACAATGTTGACTGAGACAGCTACGTCCCTGATAGCCCCTATTTAAAAACCGGACCGAGGCTAACAAAAACAGACAAAATGATACAAGATACAATCAACTCTTTCTAAGTCGGACACCTTTGGGTCCGGTACTAAGTGTCCGTCTAAGAGAGATGTCCGTCTTAAAGAGAGTCAAATAAAGGGAGTAAAGAAAGGCAGGGACCAACTCTAGGTGTCCGTTTTACAAAGGTGTCCCTTAAGAGAGAGTCGACTGTATAACAAGAGCTGAAATCAAAATGCAAAAATAAACAAAACTCGCCTTTTGTTCCATTTGCTGTGTGGATAATTGACAAAAGGCAGCGCCCAAATTCCTCAAGAACCATCTTTTCGATCATAGCCGGCGTTTTCCCCTCCTAATGATGAAAAAAAAGTGCATCAAAGTTTTGCCAATACTGAGGTGGGAAGTGACTATCATGAGACAAACAATGAACCAAAGCTACCACATTGGGAGGGGCTAAGATACTAAGAACAGCTAGTCTTCTACGTAGCCGTGCTTTATGTCTTGTAACGCAACGCCCCTCCCCAAGGGAAGTTCGTTGCGTGACGAAACAAAGAACGGCCGTGTGGGAGACTGGAGAACAACCAGTTTAAAATGGAAACCAAACTTTGCCTCTCGTCAGAGGTAACAGCAGAGTTTCTAAAAGTTCGTTTTGGCTGGGTCGTTTATGTGACTTCGTCGCTTAAAAACGTCAACTTGCAAGCGAGTCTCAACACTAAAACATAGCTGAATTTCTGAACGCACAAGACTGCACCTCTGCGGAATCGATATGGTTGTAAACGAAAGTGACCAGACAGGTTCTTATCGCTTTTCTTGCCAGTCAGAGGCAGCAGGGAATTTAAATCACTTCTTGTAACAATAAGACGAGAGCAAGAGCCGAGAGGCTCTTCTGTTCGTCAAGGGAGTCAGCTCTTGTATAAAATCTCAAAAGTCTCAAATCTCAAAGTAAACTTACATTTTCCGCATCAGCTGCTTGGGCAAGAAGACATTGGCAAGTTGCTTGTACAACGTCATCAGTGACAAATGAGAAGGGAAGCCTGTTGAAAATAAGGCACAAACAACTATGTTGAACATCACTCAAATTAAATACTTGGCGGTGCAATCAGAGCCTAAGAGCAAGCTCTCCATTTTGGGAAGTCGCGAGAAGTCACGCGACAGCCACACGCGATAGGAGACGCGACCCGCGACTAAGGGTTGATTTCCAGTGTCGTGTAATTTAACGAACGTTCGTGCGTAAAATTTACGTTCGCAAATAAAATGGAGGCAATGCATGAAAGGTGGCTCATAAGCGTAGAAGTTGCACCTCGCTCACCTTCTCGTTTAAGCTCAGCGCTTTTTATCTCGCCTCTATTTATTTACGTGATTAAAATTTACGTGCGTTAAAACGCATCAATGGAAATCAACCTTAAGAACCTGTTAGGCTAAAATTTGCCAGTTAGGCCCCCTCTATACAAGAACCTGTTGAGCATAAAATTTGAAACTGGTTCTTATTTTCAAAAATCTTTATATAAAAACATCATGTACAATTGGGCAATATAGATATAAACTCAACATTCGGGATCCTTTTTGAAGACAGGTGCCTTATCACTCCAACTGCAATGTAATGGTGTACAGATATTATATAAGGAATATGAGCTGAATACCACTAAATGCTCTTAGCTACAATGAATTTTTTTCCTTCAGAAAATAAGAAACCTATTTAACAACCTAAATAGGAACCTGTTAAGGGTAACTTGGGAAATTGTAGGTTCTTAGTTCTTCATATCAAAGTACTAACCTCTCCCCAGTGTTAGTCAAAAAGGTCGGTCTTGATGGTAAGTCTTCTATCTGGGACTCTAGTTTAGTTCGGGCTGCATTCTGTTGCTTTACACGAACCTCTGCAAGAGGAGAAGTACAGTGTACATGAAGAGAATACAGCAACATGTTTATCGAATAAAAACCAAGTTTCATGTTATAAAAACTTAAAAGTTCGATGATGCATACATGTACACTATGAAAGGTTTTCCAAAGGTCTGTTTAAACAGGCGACACCATCAACTTCAAAATGAAAAAAAGAAGCAAGGTTTCCCTTCTCCACCTTGTCTAGGCAGCGTTGTACCATTGTTTAAGCTGTTTGAGTAACTGAAGGCAATAACAACCAAGCCACCTTTGGATAAGCAGGGGGGAGGAAGAGGGCTCCAGACAGTGTCCCAACAATTTTGTCGCTGATTATAGGTGTGAGTTCAAATCACACGAGTAAACTAGCGGCGATTTCATGGCATTTGTTGCCACAAAAAATCTGCCTTCAATCTAATTATTTGTTTATGTTGTTTCTTAAGTTCAAACTTTTAGTGTTCCCCAGTAGCTGCAAAGCTTAATAACGTTTTCATTCTTTCAATCAGGCTTTATCTCCTTTCATTTTGTTGTGAGCAACAAATGAATAAGAAAAATAGTAATACTGCTTCAGTGAGCATTTTCAATACAAAATTTCGAAAACATAAAACAACTGTTTCCATGTTGCTTGTACATAAAAAACTCAACCCTTTTCAGCTCACCTGCTGCATCTGCTAAGTGCATTAACGTTTTCCTCTCTGGACTCTCCTCAAAATTCTTGCATCCTGTACATTTACACAGATTTGTACACAAAATCTTGGCCTACAAGTAAATAAATAAATGATTGTGATGATCTTTTGTAACTGTATACCATTTATCTAAAAATGTGAAATATTAGTTTTAGTGGAGGGACAAGATGTTATTCAATAAAGGAAAGCTCCTCTAGGAAATTAATAATGTAGCCATATAAAACATCTTTCAACTGCCAAAACTCAGAACTGATCCTGAGTTAAAAATGTTACCTCATAACATTCACAGTAGTTTTTTAGGCATCCTGATCTCTTACAATGACAACCTGTTAAAAAAGAAGTAGAAAGATGTGGTTGGTAGATTGGCCATGCTCAGGAAAGAAGCTGGTGTTCTGAGCGTCGGCCCTTTGTCAGAGCAAGTCAAAGAAAGAAGAATCAAAGAGAAAAGAAGGACAAGTAATATCAATAGCCAAATACTGTATTTCCTCAAATAATAGCCAGGGGCAATATTAAATTTTCGCACCAAAAGGGGGTGATTATTCGGGGGAACACGATTATCTGAGGGAGGCGATCATTACAAAATAATATTGCTAAAAGAAAAAATATATTCACATCAAATAAATTGAACATGGGCTTAATTTTAAGTGTTCCAAATTTAGTTCCTTGATTAAATTTCAACGTCGATATCCTCGACATCAGAGCTTGAGTCGTCACTGATCAGTTTTGCTGCATCAGACTCCACTTCAGCTACTGGTATGTTTGTTATCCAAGTTGTCGATTTTTAATTTGCAAAAAAAAAAAAAAGATGGTGTGAGGGTTGCGGGTGATTGTTCAAGGGAGGTGATTATTTGAAATATTTCCGTCAAGGGGGGGGCTGTTTGGGTGGGTGATTATTCGAAGGAGGTGATTACAGTTTTTATCTGACCCTGCAAGAGTGGTAACTAACTGGACTACATAAGGCTTCAAGTATTTAAGAGCAATCAGCAGCAGGATAGTATTACCTTTATTATGCCGTCTGTCAGAATCACCCTGAAAGAGAGCAGCATTTATTAAATTAATGGAACTCTTGCCATGCTCCTTGGCTACATTGTAAATGTCATTGTACTTGAAGAAAATATTTTTATGCACCTGGTTTTAACATCTAACATGTAAACATTAAAATTGTGTAAGTTTCCTTCACTCTCTCTTTTTTGCTTCACATTAAAGTGGAGGATCTCATGAGTGGACACCCTTAGGACATGAAAAAGTGTCCCTAACTGGAGCTGGCCACTTATAGAGATGTCAAAATACAGAGATTGTATGGGAGTTGAGAAGAATGGGTTTTTGTGAAGGCAGCAGTAAGTAGAGATGTCCGCTTACAAGAGTGTCCGTTACATAAGCTTCCACTGTTGTTTTACACAACTAGAGATAAATCTACATGTAGTTAATGATTGGTCAAAAGTCAATGTTCATAGGAACAGGAATCACAATTCAAAGCAAGACTCTGTTATATTTACTTTCGTGTCATGGTAGATTTTGATCCTAACTCGATTCATTGAGTTCCACTTACATGGAGTATGGCATTTGACATTATGCAGACACAGTTAAGTACGGCTTAGATTTACTTAGGCATGTCTCACAGCTGGAGTTTGCATAAAGAATGCCCCAACCAATCTAGATGCAACCAGCTGAACATAAATGGGTCAAACACCCTACACCATATGAAGCAAACTCAATTTAATTTGCCTTACAAAACACCTGATCTCCACGTTTTTTTTAAAGCCATTGCTGAATTAAGTTAGGTTATTTGACAATAGGCAAACTGAGTCTTGTAGTTTAGGCTGACCCTAACTGTAATCATGTTCGGTTCATGTGAAGCCAGCCCTGGGGCCCGTTTCTTGAAAGTCCCGATAATTAACGGGCCCGGTAAGCTGTCTCCGTTTACATTAAAGATCGAGGTTTCAATAGTTTTACATCTAACATGATAAAAACTATCAGTTAATGAAACAAAATGGAGTAGTTTGCTAGCCAGGACCCGTGCTCTTATTCTTTATATTTCAATTTGAATATTTGATTTCGGGCCTGTAAAGTTACCGGGACTTTCGAGAAACGGGCCCCTGGCCTTAAATGAAGTTTCTCGTAAATTAATGCTTTTTTAGGAAACAAATACAGAGTTTAGCTTAATTAAAAGTTACCATTACCTTTCCTTTCCCAATTTTGGGGTGAAAAGCTTGAGGGTTTCTCTCTAAACAAGCCTAAAATAAAAGCCAAGAGTATCAACAAATAACACAACAACTATTTAAATGAGCAATGGGACTAAAGTACATCGTACATTTAGGTGCTACAGTATACAGTGTAATGTCCTTTGTCCTATTATTTATTATCCTATTATTATTTATCATCCTTACATTGTACGTACGTCCACCCCTTCACATTAGAAAAGTGGAGTGTCTTACTTACTAGCTTAAAAACCAAGGCATATATAAATGATTTTGTTTAACTTGATATTAGACATCAATGTTATGATCAACTGACAGCTGTCAAAATACAAGTAGGGTATCTGCTTACCAGTGTCACATGACGGTATCACAGGCTTGGGTGTGCAACTTTATGTAATATTGAGGTGACTTTTTTTATAAAGTTCTCCTCTTACCAGTTATGGTATTCACAAGATCGCAGGCTCAGAAAACCTTACTTCAAAAAGGTGGTTCTTAAAAATTCCCAGGAGAGCTTTGAAACTTTTGGCCTTGGCTAAATCTATATATTATACATACATGTACGCAATGCGGTGGTAACCCCAATCAAATGATAAATATTCACTTGTGTTGATTAACAAGCTAAATTACAAATGTAAATAAGGACTTGTATACCCCAATGGGCACACTGAGACATGCTAATGCAAGCTACAACTGTCATTTTCCACTCACTTTGATAGCTTTACTTCTTTCCTTTTCATGTTCAATATTATTTGAGCAATTTACGCAGTTACAATTACTGCAGAATTCTCCATTGGCAAAACAGTCACAATATCTGTACAAATAAAATAACAAATTGAGATTTTTGGTTTAATAGCCTAAATAAGCAACTATTTAAGCATTTTTTGTCATTCTGATGGAAAGTGCTGTCCGAATCTAGTTAAGCCATAACCTAAATTCAAAGGCAAACTTCAGGAAAATTCGGAAACGTTTTGAAAAGATGTGAATCTAACAAGTGCTCAACACAGCCCACAAAAGCAAACGCATCTGCAAATCATCTGCAAAGTGAGACATTAGAAAAAAAGTTCTCTTACCACAATTTTTGCTCTAATTTATTTTAAAGCTACATGTAATGGTCCAAATTGCTTCCATTTTTTTTGTAAAATACTTCAGCCACCAAAACAAATTGCAAAGTAATTTTTAACCTCTATTAAGCAGACACAATGACAATGGGCCAAGTTTGTTTTATTGTGGTATAAGTTTTCCTGTGGAAGTTTACACACTTATGGACTTTATACTGAGTTATACTGTCTTATAATACCACAACACGAATGATGACTACACCTTCCCTTAAGGGTGGCAGCACGACAAAAAAAAATTAAAATAAAAAAAAATCAGGAAAGAAAAGACAAAGAAATGGGGATAAGAGAATGTGAAACATAAAAGTTGAATAGCCAGCATCCTTTTTTCATACTTCACAAAACATTTCTTTGTTTGTTAAAGGAAATACTCATTATTTATATCAAAAATATACCTAGTAAAATATCACTGAAAAGAGTTTGACTTACAGTTTGAGGCACTGTGACTTGGTGCAGTTACATGGCTTGCGTGGCCTATTGGGAGGTGAGGATTCAGGCGAACTCCTATGAACAATAAAAAAAGTAACCAGTAAGTATTAAACTAGGCAAGTTACCTCATTTATACCTTCAGCTTGAACCAATGTTTATACATGTACATTGCACTCCACATATTATGTAGATTAAACCTTTGTTTCAAATAGGAATAGAATCGAACCTTGGTTAACCCTTCAACCCATAACAATGATTACTATTAAAACAGTTCTGATCATTCAACAAATCTCCTCAACATCGCTATAGGAATTGAATATAGAGAACAATCGAGAATCTCTGAGGTTTTTTTAAAGTTATTGCTAGCAATAACCAAAGGTTAGGGAGTGTGGGTGACAATAATTGGAGGTCCAAACGCTTTTGCAACATGACAGATACTCAAAACATGTGTGATTACGAGGGGTAGAAGGTGGAAACATGCATGATCAAATTGCATTTGCAACGCATGCATAATAACAACCTGAAGATTAAGATTGCGGGCGACACTGTCACATAGCGGGTGGTTACAAATTAACGCAGGCCAAGTAAAAAAAGAAAGGGTCTCTCATCCGGATTCTATAAAAAAGAGAGTGGGTGGGCACTATTTGTTTTTGTCATTTCAATTGAATACTTTCTTTACATGGCCCTCCCTAAGACAGAAGTAGTTAACTTGGAGTACATGTATCTTTGGTCAAGTAATGATCAATAAATGAAACAGATATAATTGATTAAACACAAATTGCTTTATTTTGACAATGTTTTTGGCAACAAACTGATGCTGTTTTACTGTACATGAATACAAAGATAGTTTGCACATACATGTACAAGTTTATATTATTTTTCCCAAAAAATCTCTCCTTTGTCAGCATTATTGCAGAAGTTTGCAAACACAAAGTTAAGTTACAGTAAGGGCATAATCCTTGACTCTCTTACCCATTAACTGATAATCCTGGTTGGGCTGCTGTATTTAGGGTATTGGCCTGTAAAGGTACTGCAATTGGAAAGCCTCCGGAGGCTAGAGCTTGCTGAAATAAATAAAGTGATACAATTCAACCAAAGGTTAGTAAATTTATCACCATAAATACCAGGGTGGAAATTTTCCCGACAAAAAGTAATACCTTTTGAGGTATTACCTTTTTCCTGTTTTTACCGAAATGACTGAAATTTTCAGTACCGTTTGTTTGGATTACTCGTACCAGGCTTCATGTCGAGAGAGAGCAAAAAATTTGCCAGCATTTTGTAAATGGTACAACTCAATCCCGTTCCTCTTTTTGGTGCCAAAAAAAATAATAACAGGACCATTTGACAGAAATTTTTCACCGAAATTTCAATATGGTAAGCACTGACTATGAATTTTTCAGATTGAAAGGTGAATCTGGTTGAAAGCTCTCATACCTGAGGAAGGTAAACAACACCTCCACTGATGACTCCATGTGGAAACTGAATGTTGCCAGTGGCTCCTGTGCCAGTAATTTGTGGAATGCTTGAAGGTAAGGCCGGAACAATGAGTCTTGGTTGCTGAGCAGCATTTGAAACCTGGGGTTGAGGTGGCTTTGGTGCCAACTGGGAAAAAGTAACATGTATAACACAAATAATAGGTGAAGGGTTAAAATACATACAGTGTGCATGCCAATGCCTAGTTAGGTTAACCATGCAAAAACAATAGCAAGAATAGTACAAAACAGGATGATGAGAAAAAGCAATGCTCTGAGGATGTATCTAGCACTTTTTCAAAATTCTCTTCTGTTCACTTGGGTTTAGAATTTTCCAAATCTGTGGGGGACAATTTTCACACATCTTGATTGGTTGAAGTTACTTGGAATACCCTTGGCTATTCCATGTTTTAAATTTGGTTTTGGAGTCAATATAACAGCTTGTTTTGTGAAAGTATGGGAAGATGACATTTTAGTGTGGCTGATAAGGCAGCTGTACCAACAAATACTGAACTATCACATTTGGCTTGTCGGTGTTTGCTAGTACATGTTGGTTCAACCTATTTTCTTAAAGAATGTACAACAAAATCATGAAAGTGCAGTCAACAAATCCCAACAATATTTAGCTTTTCAAGTCACCAATATTGTTGACAGATCCAAAGGGAGGGTCTCCGGGGTCCTGCATGCCACATATACACTCATAAAGTAAGGAGTTGAAATAATAAACTGTAAAACAGTTTTAATAGTGTGTACAAGTTTCTACACCCCATGAAAGAATTCCTACGTCTGCTATTGCCTATAAACGACATCTATATGTAGGAGGTTTCCCAGCACTGTTACAACACAGCCCTGAAAACAGTGGTAACAAGTTCAATACATGTACCTGCTGAGGAATTTGGACTGGCTTTTCAGCTGGAGCAATGTTCCTGACTACCGGTGTTATCTGCACAGCCTGACCGCTCGGAACTGCCTGTACAATGTTTACTTTGGGAGCGATGTGCCGCACACTTGTTGCTGGGCCTGTAGGAGTGGCCAATGTAAACTGAGGTGCTGTACCTGATTGTATCTTTGCAAGAGATGTGGCAGCTACACTTATGGGTACAATTTTCTGAAGTTGCACAGGAACAGCCTGCTTGCTTGGTGAGCCTCCAGCCTTTGGGGCAATATTTTGTTTTGTTGTTGCATTAAATGGCTGGACGTGAACCAAGGTGCATGTAATGTTGCCCCCAGTACCAGTGCTTGCTTGCGCCCCTGTTAAAGTTCCGCCTGCTCTTGATAAAGGTGTTAGTTTAATAGGACTACCAGATATAACTACTAGAGGTGGTTTGGCTTGGCTACCTGTTGCTACAGTCCTGGCAGTGGTTGATGTGCCTGCAGCACCTGAAAGAGAACAATAAATTAAAAATTTTGTTGGCGGAAGATACAGTACTTGGTTACACGATGCACCCTGAACTTACAACAGGCTTAGGATATCATGCAAAATTTCTTTGAAAAAATGCTGCTCCCTATAGCAAAAAAAATGTATACATGCATATATGGTATTAGCTGTACACTAGGGCGAGGCCAAAACATAGCAAAGTCAAAAAAGATAACTTTGGCTGAATTCTTGGAAAACATCTTAGCAAAATACCCCTGTTTTTGTGGGGCTGAAAGTCATTGAAGAGATGGGGTGTCAAGAAGTTTACTTATTAGGGACGTTACGATCCAACAATGACAACATGCATAAAAATGTCGCTGAAAAAGACTTTGCATCCTTTCAAACTTTTTCACGATTATCCCAATTCGCCCCGTTACTTAAAAGAGGGGAATTTTGGGTGGAACTGAAGAGAGGACACGCGCCCGAGTTCAGACAGAAAAGGAAGAATTCATTGCCTTGCCGTTCCCGTTCTCCAGTAAACTTAAAACTTGGTCATTTCGCATCGTAGTTGTGCAGGGACAGCAACGAAATGTACAAAAAAGCATGATGTACAAGCAGAGTTGTTGTTTTGCTCATTAAACCTATTGCTTTTTTGATGTTCTGCTTGCTGTCACCGTCATAGTTTCATAAGGTCCCTAGTTTACCTTGAGCAACAGCTCCCACGGAACATGGTGTTTTATGCAATTCTGGTTTGGGCTGGATAAAGAATATCTGTGGTTCAGAAGCTTTGCTGCCAGCTGCAGCAGCCACTGATGTTATTGTTCCTGTAGCTAATGTTGGTGCTGTGGTAGTTTTTGATGTTACATTTTGAACAGTTACTGTTGCTGTAGTTGTGACAGTAGTGGTTACAGATGTGCTCGAAGTTGATGGTGGTGTAGGGTAGGCATCATCTATAGGCTCTTGCTTGACTGTAATTATTTTCTCCATAAAAGTTAAAGTTTCCTATTCAGAATAACAAAAACTTGAATGTGAGAATACTGAACAAGAATATTTACTAAAATGTAAAGCTAGGTTTTGATTACAAAGATGTTGATACCTTGAAAATTTATGGAAAAATTTGATTTTGCACACTGATAAATGAAAGGGTGTTTGTGTTAAGGCTGCCAATCCCAGTCACTGCCCTTCTCACGTTTTAAACAGTCGTCAGTTCATTTCCCATTAAGAGCAATCAATAAGGAGATGAATGGAAAAAATACAAAGGTAAAGTTTGACGCCAAAAAAAATAAAGACCAAGTCCTAAACTTTACAACTTACAGCATTTAATAATAACAATAATAAAAATGGTAGCCTACGAAAACAGCCATTTCTCCTCGCTCTTCGCCGCTGAGGACATATCGTGAGGAATAACGCCTGGGACTGAGAGACATACTGATGACGTAAAATCTGGTCAGATGCGCTGATTGGTCAACGGAGAAGTTACATTGTTTTAGCTATAGTTTACGCATGACAGACAAAAGACAAAAGGCCATGAAGGTTGAACGCAAACGTGATGAATCTCTAACAAAAGAGTCAAAATTGGTGGAGCATATTCTTCTCTAGAAGAAGCATTTGAGTTCTGCTGGAGCTCGTTCGCAGATGAACACAACACTTTAGTAAAATCGACCAGGAAAAAGGTAAAATTAAAGAAGTTTGGATGATAAATATATTACCAGATATATTATGCAAACATTGATTTATGTCATCAGCATGGAATTTCTTTTGCTGAGTCGCGGACGTTCCTCTGTGCGAAACGTCCCCGTGGCGAAGTGCGAGGAGAAATGGCTGTTTTGAAAGGCTAAGAAATGGTTTATTCACAGTATATCCATAAACTAAAAATGTGTGTCTCCACTTGTGACTAACTACTAGACCACCTAACCTACTACTCAACTCATCAATTGCTTATAAATATAAAACTATGAACAGTAAAATGATAATAAAATGGTAAATTCAAAAATTCAGGAAAAACTAGTGAAAAGAAAAACTATGGACAATGAAATGATAATAAAACAAGAAGTTCCAAAAAACAAGAGAACCTAGTGGAAAGGTCACTAATAATGCATTCTTGCCGTCGCCTCAGTTTTAAGGTGATTTGTCAACTGACTCTTGAAATGACTAAATTTTGTGAAGTTCCTGATTGTGGTACAGTCGACCCCCAATAACTCGAACCCTCAAGGGAAATCAAAAAAAGTCTGAGTTATCGGGAGCTCGAAGCAAATAGCTGGAAGTAAGGGAAAAACCAGTTTTTACTGTACGGTGAACATTTTAATCACATTTAATTGTAGAAATGTCAAGTGAAAATTGAAAGACACTTCTAGATTATAAATCAGAATGTAACATAAAAAATATAGCCTAAACAGAGCATGCATTTTACTGTTTTGAGTAGTAAAGCTGTTTCAAGTTAGATTTGTGACAAACAACATCAGCATCCACTGGTAAACTACATGCCTACAACACATCCATGAGAAATTCAAAATCAACCCTTCGGACGACAGTAGTAAGGAACCAGTGCTAAGCTCTAGCAGTGCTCTGGTGCCTTACTTTTGCTCTTGGGCAACAAGGGAATTTTATTTTTTTTATAAACAAAGTAACAAGATGGTACCAGAAATGATCATTACCCTGAAATCCTAGGGCTTATTGCATCTAGTAGGACATTTTGTATGGTGAAAAAGAATAAAGACTCTTACACTTGTACTTGTGTTGCAAGTGAAAACCAGTATTACATTTTTCAGTTCAAATTCTACTTTATTTTTAAAAAATTCAAACCCCTTCATTTTCCCCTAACTTAGCCTCAGGTTGTGGTAAAAACAAGAAACTAGAAATTAATTTGTTTACATGTAACTTTTCAACCCCTCCCCCAAAAAGGACTCTGATGAAAACTGTTTCAAACAAGCATTTCTTTGAATTTCAGCCCCCAAAACTTAACCACTTATATTTTTATTTTACAAATTTTCATGCACTTCAAGATTTCACGCATCTTACATGGAATACTCACTGGTGTGTAAGATACAGTTAGATAGTGAATGTTACTGACAAAAAAAACTCTTGCCAATCCCAAAAGGGGATCAATACTCACAGTAATAAACTGGAGTTACTGCTTAAAAAGTATGCTGTAATAAGAAAATGATTACTGTTAAAAATATACAACAGGTCAGCTACATAATTCGTGTATCTGGCTGTAAAACAGTAATATCTCTTGTTGAGTGTCTGATCGTTTTCCAATGCTGTAATATATAACGCCGGAATGTGTAAAATGTACAGGATTAATTTAAGGTTTCGGATGAGTGAAATTAACATTTGCGTGGTGAAATATAAGCTTATCGTTGCGGACATTATCATGCACTGAATGAGTGTAAATTGTCCATGCACTAAGCTTAACTAAAATATCGCAAACAAACAATTATTTACTAAACGGAATATAACTTTTAAAATTAAACAGCGAACATCGGCAAATAACACATTTACTGCTACTTTTATACTTTCTAACGACGTCAAAAACTAACGTCACTGAAGTATAAAGAACGATAGTAGATATTTTATAACAAAAGACTGAAAAGTCACTACGCTTGTGGAAGAGTTTTTAGATCGAGGCGATCGCAGCCTGAAGATTTCTTTGGTAAACATGTTAATTTCCATACGATGCTCGGGAACAGTTTAAACTTTTTCTTAACAAGAATGGCTGACAATTTTATTAATGTCTAAGTGTTAACTACAGACACAAGAAAAGAGTGTTCAACAAATGCAGAAAGCGAACTGACGACCGGATCGTCGATTTGGGAACCGATGAAACTCCAAGTTTACAGTTCAGACACGATTTTCATCTAGCGTTACACGTAGTCACTTGACTCTGAAAAATGTCAACAAAACACCTAAGCTATCGCTTCGATATAGTAATAACACTATACACTATCAAAAGCGCAAGCATTTAGCCCCAGAAAGTGTACTAAACATAGGCGATCGGAAACGCAACAGATCGAGTTTTATAAATCCCGGTCGCCAGTCGAAACTGAGCATTTCTCCTTGCGATCAAGAGTCCTCGAAGAGACAGCATAACTAAATAGCCAATGATTACCTGCGAGATGCATCGATCTTAAACATCGTCCACAACAAACGTCATTTCCATGCCAAAATCCCATAAAAACTACGTAGTAAAGGCCGCATATTTACTCCACTTTGCAGACATCTTGTTGTTCAAAATCACGCGCTTTTGCCAGCTAAAGAAAATCATCCCACAATGCACCAGTTATAGCCTTGCGCTGATTGGACAAGGGGACAATAGGTAGGAGTTTTACAGCTTGTGATTGGTCCATTTTCCGAGGTGGAATTTGTTTTCCCCCGAACGAAAGAAGGTGCGTGTTTTGCTTGCAGTATCATTGCAAATTTCTTTATCGATGTGTTGCTCGAGCAAAAGGTATGTGAATACTTGCTTGTTGATAAGTTAAGTTCCTTTTCACAGGTGAAAAGCTACTTTGCCCATTGATATTCTGTAGTATGCTGAGCCATTTAGTCTTAAGTCTGCAAAGCCAATCAAAAAGGAACATGATAGTGAACGTCTTGAAGTGGGATGATTCAATTGGCTACACTCTTCAAGAAAGCTCACTGCCTTGTTCCACACTGGCGAATCCAGGGGAGGGGTCCGAGCCCCTCCTTATTTTCAGGCTAAACTGAAGCCCCGAGGTCCGAGAAAAATTATTTTCTAGGCCGGACACCCCTCTTTTCTGGTCGTCTACGTGGGCAAGTACTATATGCTAGCACCTACGTGAAATGGGCCCGTCACGAATCCACCTTTGTTCCATGCGATACCACGCTAGATTGACACTACTCTGATACTAAATGACCGCTAAGTACAGTGTAGGTGTCCTGTGCAGGTGCCTTATGGCAAGACATAGGTTTATTTTTATTATAAGCAAGCTGTATAACACATGCGAATTATAATGTGGCTGGTCAACAAAAAAATTGTAGGGGGTGTGGTTACACAAGGTGTAGATTACATGACAGTTGGTTTGTTGTTTTTTTACTTGTTTATAGACCTTTATATTTGATACAATGTCAATCATGTTCATTCATAGCCTGTTTTCAGGGGCACCCAATGACGGTTTCCTCTTAACTACATTAAAAGCACTTTTTAGGCTATCCAGAGTCACAAACTTTTAGATAATGCATATTTCTAGGGCTATAAAATTTGTTTCTGTTCAGTCATCCTACTAGGGGAACTTGAGTCTTTTCGAAATTACAGGGGCTTCAGTATTATTTTTCCCCAAAATTTTAGATGCAATTTAATGTATAGTTACGAAAACTGTCAGAATTTCACTGATTTCTCTTTTTATCACATTTTTTGATAAGAAAATTTTAGGTTTTCTTTTTTCTACGAAAAATAGCCTAAGCTGAAGAGTGAAATGTGAAAAATAAAACTTAAGAAAATCGTAGGGAATTTATTTGAAAAGCTTTGAAAATTGTACATGAATGAAATGTTCATTTAGTCATTTTTAGCCGTCCTCAAGTGATATAAAATTCTAGGCAAAACTGCTTCTCTGAACAGATATTTTACAGGAAACAGTCACTGGGTGCCCTGAGTCTTTTGTCTGGTATGATTAGTTTTGGTCACTTTCTACAAAATTGGTGGTATTGGATTTCATTCAGTGGGTGAAGAGGAATAATGAGCTGTCCATTTATCCCCATGCACTCTATGTACCCCTTCAAATGCAGCACAGCTGTAGTTTAACCCATTCGCCCCTGAACCGCCCGTAACCGCCCGTGCGGATCCAGGTCCTTTCTACCCATTGTGACGTCATCAGTTTTAACGGTCAAGGACAACTTTCTTCACTAACTTGTGCAGAGTGAAGAGATCTTTCAAACCATACCAGAATGAGCACAATTCAGTCAAGGACACCGGAGAAACAAGCAAAAAACCACGTGACATTGACCTGAAAATCTCCATGAAAATCTTGTCCCATTACCCACCTACCTTTCCTTTCGCCTAATCCTAAGATCCTAAAAGCTTTCCTAAAAACTCTTCCCACCAAAATCAAGCCTACTAAATGCCCAGCAAGAGAAAAAAAAAATGAGGCAAGAAAAGCAAAAAAAGAAGGGAGGAGAGAAAGCGAAAAGTAAAAGTCAAGACTGCTGTGTCACTTTTAAACCCAAAAACTATGTCGAAATTTTGCTTTCTGCGCATGCCCGAACTTCGCAAGCTGATATTTTGCATCTGGATCGGAAGACCGTGAAGTGTTCGACCTGTAAACCAGTTTGTGGTAAGATTTAGCTCTTTATAGCACGACAGTGACCAGAAAACAACTCGACTAGCCTCAAAACGCGTTTTTCGGCAAAATCTCTAGGAGCGAATGGGTTAACTAGTTTGGTTAATGATGTTAATCTTAAATTCCACAATTTTCAGGTGTCATAGATGATGGCATGGTTACTTGCCAGTGGAGTCGCAGCCATTGCTGCAGGCATGTTTGCTGCAAACTGGGATTGGTACAAAAACAGTCCAAGACCAGATTTAGCTTATCTGAGTGCCATCAAACTCAAGGCTTTAGATGGATCAGGAAAGGAGATCATGGCCTCTGAATTGTGGAGAAAATCGGGTGCCGTCATAATGGTCGTTCGACGGCCAGGATGATTTTTGTGTAGGGAGGTACTGATTATCTGTCTTTGTAACACATAAAATGACTTACTGAAAATGTCACATAAATTTCTTAATTTTTATATCATTGAGGTCAAGTGCAATGTGGCATTTTTATTTTTCTCTCTTTATTTGTGGACCACAAGACAATGTAAACTGCGGTGTATCAAGTTAGATATAATTTTTCAATGCCAAAAGAACACAGGATAAGAGTTTATATACATCTAGTTCATTCAACTGCTTTAGTCTGCAAAAACCTGTATCTTCATGTGACAATATTAAACCAAGGTGAAATGGTAGTCCTACTAGTATATCAAGTAGATGTGTCAGTACTTTGTGATTTTAACATCTAGGAGAGGGAGGTATTGCAATATATGGGCTACATACATGTAATTATGTTCTACAGTCAAGGCACCTAACCTTTGCTCTTGGTTGAAATGAACATCTTAGTTTTTTCATACAAATCACAATCATAAACTGGGTACTCTAGATTTCATAGGTTCTGAGCACTGGGCTGGACCGTTTAGTTTTTCTTAGAGCACAGCCTTGCTTATCAAAGACTTCACACTTTATACCCTCAGTTTGAAAAGAGTCTAGACATCTAAGAAATGGTCTGCTGTCATTAACTTACTTATTTTCTCTTTCAGGAGGCCTCTGAGCTGTCCTCCCTCAAACCTGAACTTGACCAGAGAGGTGTAAACCTTGTGGGGATAGTTCACGAGAAAAAGGGAGTTAAGGAGTTCCAACCTTACCTAAATTCTCCAATTTACCTGGATGAAGAGGTAACACACAGCAGCTAATGAGTTGTATTGAATGTAGTAATAAATGGCTTTTATGAGGAGCAATAGAAAAGAACAAGGCTCTCAGGGTCAGGGGTGTCACTCACTTTAAAGTTGGTACGGAAATCAAGGCTGTGCTCTAGCAGAGTGCAGTGGCTCATGTCCCCCAGAAAATCTTTGTTAGCTTTTTCATAGAAATCATATGCTGGGCACACTGAGTTTCACAAGTTCAGAGCACTGGGGTCCCTTCAATTTTTCTTAGAACATAGCCTTGGAAATGAGTAAAGTGTTAAGCTGATAGTTTCATATATTATTTTTCTTGGTTTACTGTTGAATTTGTGAGGAAAAAATATGAATATGGTGCAATGAATTTTTAAAAAGGTTTTATCAGTGTACATTTATGTTCTGCATTCTACAATGACAGAGACTAGTCAAGACAAATTTTTCACTCAGAGATTTTTTTTTACATCAATTCTTTTCACGTCATCATTCTAAAATTATTATTATAGTCTAAAAGTGAAGACCACCTAGCATATTAGAATTACATTTTCAGCCAGAAAATTTTGTGTGAGAATTTAAAGCTCGTGGCCACTTATCTCTTATTCTATATGGTAGGGGCCAGTGACTTATTCCTGTTAGCAGTCAGCTTCAAATCACCTAAATTTGTTCTTCCAGAAATATTTGTCAACTCTCCCCTTACTATCCTTACATGCCCATACCACTCTCTCAAAATACCAGATCATATTACAGTCAAACCAGGTCAAGCGTTCCTGTCGCTAACAAACTAATGGATTCATTAATGGAAAAATGATTTCGTTTGTTGATTCAATAATCCATTCATAAAGTGAATAATCCAACAGTCAAATTGGACCTCGACTCGATAATTAAATGTTGATTTTGTTTATGAACAAAATCTACCTGTATTTGCTTCCCTTTTCCTGCCGTATATGATTGAGTTTTTCATTGCCTTTAATCAAAATAACAGCTAGAATAGACAGACCGCAAACGCAAAGAAACTGACGAAGGCTGGGGATCGAAATTCACCAATCACCGCACATACACTGACCTTAGTTTGACCATCCTGTTTTCTAAGAGGTCAGGTCTGTTGCACTGATTACTGGCAGCAAAATGGCATACATGTAACAGTTTGTTTGGGTTTGAACTTCAGAACTCGCCCGCACTCGACCCTTAGAAAAAAAAGAAGAAAAAACAAAATTCTGAGGTCGACTTGTGGAAAGTGTAGTTTTTTCAAAAAACGGTAATCGAATCAACATTCGATTATGGAAGCGAGGCTAAATATGAATATTGGATTGTTCATTTTATGAATGGATTATTGAATCAACGAACAAAATCATTCTTCCGTTAATGAATTGATTAGTTCGTTAGCGATGGGAACGCTTGACCTGGTTTGACTGTAAGTTCATATGTTGTTCAAAAAAATTGGCCTTTAAAATTCCCCTTTTCACCCTTTGGAAATTCCAAAGACCCTTGATAGAGTGGATGTGGATTAGTGGTGTGCTGATCATCCATCAAAATGACATCTGAGGAATGAGCACAGAAATTCCATATTGATTATCTGGCCCTACTCAGATCTGGGAAGTACTTCTGATTCATCTTGTCATGAGGAAATTTGCTTCAAACAAATTAGAGGTACTACCCAGATCTGGGTAGTGACACATCATCAGTATGGAATTTCTGTGCTTGTTCCTCAACGTCATTTCGTGAGAAAACTAAAGGTGGTGTCACAAAATGTCGGCTTTTTTTTCATGCTACTGTAATCTGGTTTTAATTGTTTTCATACTTTGACTCTTTCAGAGAAAGTTTTATGGTCCTGAGCAGAGATGGATGTTTCTTAGTGGTAAGCTGAATGATCCTTTTTTCAATCTTTTTTTACAACTCAGGCAGTAAAACACCAGGATGCCTACTCTTTTTCAAGTTTATTTGCCCTTTCTAATTGACAGATGTAGTTACCAAAAATTTGATTACTAGTTCTTTATATTTGGACTTAATGTTTCCACACCCCTAGTCATAGGTAGACTTGTCACATATTCAGAGGTGACAGTCTGTCCTTTGCTCCCTATGTCACATAAAGAAGTTTCATTTTGAGTATGATGGTCCGGGTGAATGTGGTCTTGAATAGGACTGTTGTTGTTGACAGTGACTGACGTTTTTGACAAACTGTACAGTAGTCATGTTTAGAGTGAAAGTGAGTTGTATCAACCATTAAAGGCTTCCTTTTCTGTGTGAATTGAAGAAAATAAACAAAAATAGGAGACATTTTAGCCTGGGTGGCAGGCGTTCAAAACGGAAGGGGAAGGCAACTAGGGCGCGAGACCACGCGCGAGGGAGGAGGGAAGAGGGTTCCTTTCCTTTCTCCCTCGCGCGCCCCACACGCTCTCGCGCAACCTAATTCCCCCTTTCCCTTTTAACGCCTGCCACGCAGGCTAGAGACATTTACACACAGAGGATCCTTACAATGGGCTTTGAGTTCTTGGATTTGGCTAGCCTCCCACGCAGATGTTCTTAGGGCTCCGTCACACTCTCATGATTATTTTTATGAATGCAGGACACAGGTTTACTCTGTGGTCAAGAAATGTTGTTTTAATGTTGTTGTTTTTTTTGCAGGATTTTTACGTCCCAGTGTATGGATGTCCTTTTCTCGAGCTAGAAGCCGAGGAGTTCAAGGGAACCTGGATGGAGAAGGCCGGATTTTAGGTGGCGTCTTTGTAGTTGGCCCTGGCGAACAAGGAATTCTTCTTGATCATAAAGAAAAGGAATTTGGTGATAAAGTTGATCTGAAAGATGTTATGGAAGCTGTTAAGAAAATTTAATTAACTGCAGAAAAAACCTCATTTGTAATCATCAGCCTCTCTGCTTGACTCAATATTCGCTGAAGTGGCCGAACCCCTAATTTCTTTGCTACGGAATGAGGCGTACACAGCCGATAGTAATTTTCCTAGCGCGAGATTCATTGTTATAATTTGAACTACATCAGCTGGTAGCAGGCAAGTCAACCAGGTTGTAATGATTCAAGGAGCTGCCACTTGTTCTAAGTAGTATCAGTGATGATGATGATGATGATGATGATGATGATGACGACGACGGCGTTGGAAATTAGCCTATTCTGTCCATTACTAGACGAAGATGCGTGTTGCTATCTCACATATGACAGCACAGATGTAAAATAAGCTCTCTTATTGTCTACGCTTGAAGTTTTTGAGTGTGTACATGCTTACATCTTGTTTTGGACGGACCTAAGAAGCGACAAGTTGAACAGGTTATTGACAATTAAAAAGAGAAAGAAAGACAATGCTGAGAAATTTTTAACTTGCACGCGTTTCCATAATTACAAGAACTCTTGCGACTGTAAAATTCATTCATATGCCCTATTAAAATAAGAAAAAGAAAAAAATAGCATGTACAGTATTGCTTGCTTCACTAGAGAACGACAACACCAACAAAAGGGAAGTGCGAGGCTATCCACAGGCCACTGGTGGGCGAAGACAATTTTTTTCTGAACGAAAACGCCAATTAATTACCACAGGGATCACAGAGAAACTGAATTAGCGAGAAGAAATGGAAAAGACGCTTCAACTTTTTTTCTCTGAGCGTGCGCAAAGGCAGGGACCTCACTCCTACCCAAACTCCCACCTGACCACTTTTCCACTTCCAAGAAGTTCATTCGCAGAGTGATTTCCCGCAATCACTACGCGACAAATTACGGTATAACACGTGTGGTAGGGCATAGAATTCAGTCCACTCTCTATTTCAAGGGTTAAATAAAATCAGTTTGACACCTTTCCATATCTCAAAAATTGTATTCACAACTGAAAAAGTTGTGGCTTTGATTAGATTTTCAGAAACATGAAAAGAATTCTTCTTTATTATTTTTTTCATATATATATTTATAAAAGAGACTAATATTTGAAGGTACTGAAAGTTTCGTAAGTAAAATTGCCTTTAATAATCAGACAACGCAACCTTAGTTTTTTTCCGGTTTGCTATCAAAAGTTGAGCTTTAATAGGCGGGAGTTCATCTCGCGGGAGAGTTCGTTTGTTACTTAAATCAGAGCGCTGTTTAAACTTTAAATCTATTTTAAACTTCCTGAGAATTGACTCGGTCTAATGCGGTCTGTAGTGTACAATTAGAAAAGCAGCAGTGGTTTTGTGAAATGATATAGAGTATAAGCTGCTACAGAGTCCAGCACCAAGACGCATCCAATCTTGACAGAGCGCATAACTCGATATGCAGTGGTATGTCTTGCAGCAACTTTCGCTGATTTGTCCAAAATTACTTGACAGACTTCATCACTGGCCGCTGTTTTATTTTCCCCTTTCACTTGGTCGAACTCTTTATTCATCTCCGTAAGTTTTGCCATCATCCTTGCTTCTCTTGCTGATTCATTCTTCACCATTTCACGCCGGTGCTCAGCTTGTTTCTGGATTCTCTCAATTTCCTCCTTGGTTTCTTCGTACATTTCTTCAACATGATTCACTGGTTTTGTTGATACTTTCGCAGTCGGTTTTTCAGTTCATTTAATTCTCGCTGCGACCTCTCTCTTGGGCTTTCCTTTGGCTCGCGTAAGATATTTTCCTTGTGCGATTTTGTCACAAGAGCGGACATAATTATTGCCTCAACTACCCGAAACGACTTTCTTACTCAATGGTACGTGCTAGATTGTAGAGTTTTTGATACTGTTTGTCGCGTTGCTAATATCACGTAACAATGAACACAAGGAAGCGCGCGCTTCTTTAGAACTATTTGCGCGCGATTTTAAATTCTCCTCCATAATGGTGGACTAATTTGAATAGTCCCACGAAAGGAGTTTCTTCGATCAACTGCTTGCTTGAATCTCGATGAAAACGACACAAACAAAGCTGAGAAACTATTCGCTGGCCGCTAATGAGGGAAAATACAGTCCCCCTCATTAAACTACCTAACGGACCAATGAGAAGCTCGTTATGAGAGGAGGACAGGAGTCCATAGGAGTTGTCGACAGAAATTTTATGAGCGTGAACAACGCAAGTGTCTTCTACCTTTCCTTTCCGTTGTATGTCCTCCTTATCGTTAGCCGAAGGATATTTCCCACGATGCCACGAGGGTCCTTTTAAGCGCCATATGGGGGGTCACTTTCACCCTTGGCCCCGGGATAGTACCAGAAGATTAGGCTGCGGGTGCGGCTACACGTAGGCTACCAGAAGATGTGCCGATACAACGAGCAGGTCTTGAATTTATGAGTTTGAAATAAATGTTGTAACTCTAAAACCTGCAAGTACGTTTAAAATCCTCCGAAAACATTTCTCTTGTTTTCTTCGCTAAGATAGGAAGGAATCCTCATCGATCAGTACCGTAAAATTCCGAAAATAAGCCCCTCCAAATATAAGTCCCCCAAACTGGTAACACAAAAAAACCCTCCGTTGAATCCCCCCTCCAAATATAAGTCCCCGGGGGCTTGTACTTATAAAATTTCCCTCAAATACAAAGTAAAACAAAGCAAAAACGGTAAATTTACTTCCAAATATAAGGCTAGCCCAATCGATTTTGAAACGCAAGTTTCCCTCCGTAGATAAGCCCCTCCCCTCCAAAAATAAGCCCCTCAAAACACGGGACGAAAAAACGGATTTACCGAACGTCAAAGGTGAGGTCAAACGCGCGATAAAGGCCACCTTTGCACACCTTTGTACAACTTTGACGCGCGACAAATGTTTACCTTTGCCCGCGGTCAAAGGCGCGTCCTCAGGCGATAAAGGCCGTTTTTGTCACGCCTTTAACCCCTACCTTTGACGCGCGTCAAAGGTATATTTCATTAGCATTTGTACCCCTATCAAAGGCGTCGTCAAATATGTCTGAGATTCAGGCCAAAGGTGTGACAAAAGCGCGGCAAAGTTATGTCTGTGATTAAAGTCAAAGGCTTGTGAAAAGTGTCGTCAAAAGTGTCTGAGCCTCAGGTCAAATGTGTGACAAAGTTGTCGTCAAATGCGTGTGAGATTTAAGTCAAAGGTTTAACAAAGGTGTTGCCAAATATGTTTGTTTTTTTTCCTCCCCTCGCATCGCGCCTCTCGCTCGTCTCGCGCTTCGCGTGAATTCCTCGTTCTCCTCGCGTTTCGCGCGAATGCCGCGTTATTGCCTCGCTAGTCATAAGCGCTTGATATACAGGCTAGAATCCAACTTGAGATTTTCAGTCAAATTCAATTGCGAACTGGATACCGTTTAAAAAGGTGGACAGATAAGAGATTGAGTTCTTAATCTTGTACTTTATTGTCCTAAAACCTCACTAGATGATTAGAAAGCTGAATAATTCCGATTAAAACTTTTTTAAACGCATAAAAATGGTTTTTTAAAACATTTTCACGATTTATTGTCTAAAGTACTCAATGCAGTTTGTCAATGGACAATCATAATGACTGCCGCAAATTTTTGAAGCACTATAAATGTTCCAGATTCACGCTGTTGTCACGGACGGCAACCTGCAAAATAGTTTAAAACACTCTTTCACGAAAGCCAGTGCTAAAATCATGGTAAGTAAGAAATGTTCTTGATCAGGAGCCTATCTGTCTTGATGTTATCTTTGCGAAGATTTTCATTCTAGAGTGCTTTTGACTCTTGATGTAAGTGAAAGACAAACGCCATGTATCTAACTTCAATCTTCCTCTGTTGTGTGCTTTTTTTTCCCACTGGAGACTTATCACTTTGCCTTGCTTCTTTTATCTGTGAAATAATTGTAAAAAAATATAGAAATTTGAGATAAAAAGCTCAGTCATAGTGTTTTAAATAAATTTTTTGGCCCCACTCCCTTTTTACTATCGCTCCTTTTCTTCAGAAAATCCCCCTTTCTCTTTACCTTTATCAAAACTTAAAGACCCTGTTAAAAATGTGTAGCGAACCTAATGCTTTTGAATGGAAACATTACATTTCGTGTACATGTATTGTCATTAAGTTCGTCACCTGTGAAATTTGACGTTTGAATCGAGCCTTATTATCACATAATAAAGTCCAGGAAAATTCAATCAAAATTTCCCTCTATGCCCAAAGCTTAAAATTAAACTAAAGAAACACTTTATATTATACCTAGCCTGCATAACAAGCGTTTCCAATCGAGTTATTGCGCGAGTTAGCCCCTCCCGGCCCCTCCTTCCTCTTTTTTTGCCCTCTTGCACAAAACTCGCGCGGAAAAGCTTGCTACGCGGCTATTTTTCTACCTTTTTAACCCCCAAAGTTATTGTCCAGTAACAATAATGAAGGGACAGCTCGGTATGTTTGAATGATTGTTATTAAATGTTGAAACATACCCAGCTGCCACTGTAGTGGTAAAAAAATCAATGGAATATTTTAAAAATTAATTATGCAGTATGAGCCCCATTACGTATAGAACCCAGAAAAATCAATAGAAAGAGATACTCACGTTCGCAAAACATCCGAAGTCTTCAAATAATCACACCTCTTTGTTTGATAAACTGCACTGAATCCTGTTCAAATAAGCTTATGTACTTGCTTCAGTAATATGCCCATCAAAGTCTGGTACAGACATTTTTATTGAAGTACACTGTCAATGAAAAAAGATATATGTAAGTCTTATATTATTTCATTACCTGAGTAGTTCTCGCAGATAAATATAAACTGTTAGAAAAACCAGAGTTGGTTAATCTTGATGTTAGTAGGTTCTCGCATGAAGTTTTGAGTTGAATTGCATTGTGAAATATAAGCCAGGCATTACTTTTACAGAAATGCATTAACCCTATTAAGAAAAAGGGCTTGATCTAATGTAAACTCTACTGTGATACAGAAAGATTTTTATAGTTTACTGAACCAGATTTAACGATCAGAAAAGCTCCCAAGCACGATATACACGCCTGTTCGGAGTTGGTTTCTGTAAGCTTAACATAGTAAAACAACTATGAAGTTTGAAGAAGAACTATTGCATGCACACATAGAAAAGAATGACACGTACCTTTTGAACAAGTTTGTAGTCTAAACTCTATCAGAGATAAGGGCGAAAATATTTGTTAAAAAAAAGCTGGACTGCTTCGTACAAAAAAGCAGCTTTTGTTTTCTTCAGATCTGCGTAGTTTGTTTGTTTGCGCGGGCGGAGAGAGTTTGCAGCCGCGACAATTTCGCGCCAAAAACAGGGTGTCTTGCTTGGGTTCAGTCTTCCATCGTCCAGTTGTTGAGTCATTGTTTTGCGTCGCTATCATTTATTCATCGTATATTAATCGATCAAGGGGAAAATGATCCACTCAAGATAAGACAAAAACAAAACTCACTTAATTCACCTCGAAAAAGTACATATTCCAGAACATTTTCAAAAATAATTATAAA